CTAATATTTAAAGTAACCATAGCTGGAGTATAAGCTACAGATATCTCTAAAGTATACTAAATTATAGTGCTTATTAAATATTGTACTTTTTTCAGTTATTTTCACTGGGAGTTTTAGTATTTATAACACAAATCCCTTTGTTCTTATTGTGGACAAAAAGCCAGTGTGGTTAGCGAATTAAACTGACCCGTGGAGGGCACTCATTATCTTACCCATTGCGAACCAAGTAGTAGGGTCTTGACTGGAAATCAAAGGCTGATGGTGATGCTACACAGGTGTCAATGAAGAGGACCAGACTGCTGTCACCTCTCCGCATATCGATTTCAATATACAAGTTCTGGTTTAGTGTTACCTCATATGGAAATTGAGTCACCTGAGCGTGAAAGAAAATTATCAGCGTCATATAACGATAGGAGTTTTCTCTCTAGTCAAACCTTTACTGCCCAAACACACCTGATAGTAGAAGCTGCTGGATTGGTAGAAAACCATGCTGGTATTGTATCTGCCTGTGCCCGTTATGGTGGTGTTCTCTAGTTCACGGACCTCGTATAAAATCTGAGATACCGAGTCTTGCTCCATTCGGCAGTTGACGTTTAGCTTAAAGTTAGACTGGCGTGTGATCTCGCCGTAGTTGGAGTTGTAGGCACGAAGACTGTTTGTGTACACAATTTTGCCATTCTCAAACTGTTCAGGGAAGAAGATCAGTTGTTTTGAAAATTATAAAATACTGTTGTTAATGGGTTTTTTTTTTTTGTTTGTTTTTAGAAAGTTTTGGGGTTCCTACCTCTCTTGTGTTGCCACAAGTGTTGAGAGGAAAACTGAAGACCACATTGTAATAGGAAATCTGGGGTCTGCAGTGTGGGTCATTCAGGTACAGGCTGTGACCATCATAACCCAAACTGTTCAAGTAAGACTTCTCAATCACGATGTTCATGTTGTCTGAGGAGCAGTCCACTCGACCTGACAGCATGTTGTTAACAAGATTGTTACAGCAGCTTGAATTTTTTGGGGGGTTGTCGGTCCCACATTTTGGTTCTTATTGAATTATTATTTAGCCACTTTTTACAGTATGAAAAATGGTACAGATATGCCTGATGTTTTAAAAAAGAAAAAAGATATAATCAAAGAAGCAGAGGCCAAAATAGCCCGACTTTTACTTCCTAATAAGCGTACCTGAGCTTGGTGTCAAAGAGCTCGTGAACTCGGCGTTGAAACCTCGACCAACCATAGAACCGTCAGTCCGGAAGACCACAG